ATTGTGGAGTTAAGCATTAGGTACAGTGTTGACCCCACCCTTAACCCAGTGCCTTGACCCACTTACTTCTCAGCTCCACCCTCCACCAGGATAACCCTTCACATCTGCCAAGTCCCTTCAGAAAATATCTTCCATTGTCCAACCCATGATCTGACAGCTTGTATCTGAAGCTTTCTTGGCTTCTTTGATTCCAAATATGTCAACTGCTGACATTTTTTTTCTTTTGACCAGAGTCTCTTAAGTTTAGTTGTACTGTCTCCAAGGGAAGGTGACATGTCCTGTAGAACTCCTGTGTAGATTGTGTTTTCCTTTGTGGCCCGAGGGCCTGACGGCTTTTCCTCTGTACCTGCAATATGCCTCTTCGCTATTATCTGAGGTGACTTCCGCCGGTGCACAGCTTCCAGGCTTCCCCTCTGCCCAGGGGCGCTCTCTCCCTGTCCCCCCAGCACCTCCTCCCGATGGCTTTTCCTCTGTACCTGCAATATACCTGGGTAAAAAAAACCCCACATACCACTGGCAATTATTTCTTGGGGTTAATAAAGGTCTCCTCCTTCTCAGCTTAGTTTCCTCCCCTTTTCTGTCTTGTGAGACAAAATCTTTTAAAACTACACCCTAGGGGAACTCTTACATCTGATGAAGGTTATGATGAGACTAGGGAATATTGCATTCTACCTTAATTTTCCTATAACTATTTAGTTTATTAAAGCATGAGGGATCATTATGTAGTTTCTGTAGTATATCATTGCTGCTGTTAGGTGAGGACTCATTAGTGATCGTGCAAACAACAGACCTGAACCTTTTCCTATCCAGTGCCATCGTCACGGTCTCTGACACACTTGAGCCCATTGTCGCAGTCTACCTTGTCGAGGGTCATTCACTCTTTCCCTGACCTTCCACCTTTCCAAGCATGATGTCCCTGTCCAAGGAATAGCCTTTCCTAGCAATATGTCCAAAATATGTGAAACAAAGCTTTATCTTCTTGCCTCTAAGGAGCACTTTCGTTGCACTTTATCCAAGACAAGTTTGTTTGTTCTTTTGACAGTCCATGGGATATTCAGTCCTCTTCTCCAACACCATGATACATGTATTTTGAAGGAATACCTTTTATGACACTACTCATCTTTAAATGTGCTCTCGTGATCCCAGGAACAGATGGAAAGTTCAAATCCTCAGGAGACTTAACTCTCAATTTCTTGGAGAAAAAGCCTTAAGTACTGAAGATTCATTGCTCTTGTATGAGAACCAACTCATAGTAAACTCTCCAGTGGGTTTTCAAAGATTATAAATCACACAGGAAGAGCGTGCCCATCTTTCTGTACAGAGCCACTGGTGGAGAGGTGCCACTGCCAGAGAGGTGCCGCTTGTTGGGTAAGCAGAGCAGCCAGCACCTTATGGACTGTACCACCAGAACTTCCTAAGTACAGTTAGAAGCAGTAACCTAAGGTTTACATTGTTATCTTCTGGGTTTTTCCTTTAGGGGAGACAGTAATCCTCTGAGTAAATAAATCTTTGTTTTTCCATGATAATGGAGAATAACAGTCATACAGATCATATGCCTCTATCTTATGCCTAGACAATATGATTCAGTGAAGCAAGAGTACATGGTTACACCTGGAGAGGACAATATGACTTTTTCATTTTTATGTGACCTCTGGCATTTGGAACCTACAAATGGAGATAGCTACTAATTGCAGCAGAAGAACTTATTTTTGGTACTCTTTTACATTGACGTTGTTATATGCCATGGAGTCGCTTGCAACCCATAGTGACCGTGTGTACATAGCAACTCTCTGAATCCTGCCCTTTCCTGAGCCGCTCTCACTAATTCCGACACACTAATCCCTGTTGCCCCAGTCACTGTATCAATCAGTTTCATCCAGGGTCTTCCTCTCTTGCTTTGTTCCTTCACCTTCCAAGCATGATGTCCTTCTCCAAAGACAGGTCTCTCCTGGCCACGTGCCCAAAATATGTGAGATGAAGCTTCAAAATCCTAGCCTCCCAGAAGAAACTTGGTTTCACTTTCTCTAAGACAACATATTTCTTTTCTTGGCAGTCTATAGTATGTTTAAGACTGTTCTCCAACACAACAATTCAAAGGCATCGATTTTTCTTCTGTCATCAATAATTATTGTCCAGCTTTTTGATGCATAGCAAATAATTACAAAGACCATGGCCTGGATTAGATGCATCCTTACTTTCTAGACTGGCATCATTGTTTTCAGCACTCTGGAGAGGACCCTGACAGCAGATTTTCCCAGTGCAATTCATCTTTTGATTTTCTGGCAGCTGATGCCTGTTGATGGATTATTGGTTGTGGAGCCAAGGAGGCTGTAATTGTTGACAACATTAATCTCTTTACCATCCATCCTGGTGCTGCCAGTTGGCCCATTGGTGAGAATCTTTGTCTTCTTGATGTTAATCTTCAATCCATATTGAAGACTATAGTCCTTGACCTTCTGTAGCAGGTCCTCTTCAGTTTCAGCAAGCAAGACTGTCATCTACATAACGTAGGTTGCTGATGAGTCTACCTCCAATTCTGATGCTACATTCCTTCTCATAAAGCCCTGCTTCCCAAATGATCTTTTCTGCACATAGATTGAAAAGGCATGGAGACAGGATGCATCCCTGACACTTTCCTGTCCTGATTTTGAACCATGCAGTATTTCCCCGTTCTGTTCTGAGGACTGCTTCCTGGTCCAAGTATAAGTTTTATTAAACACAATCAAGTGTTCTGGGATTCACGTTTAGCCACAATTTGTTCTGATCCACACAACATAGTCAATGAAACACAGATAAGACATTCCTCTGGTACTCTTTGCTTTCTGCCAAGATCCATCTGACATTGGCAGTAATGTCTCTATTGCCACAACCTCTTCTAAACCCAGCTTATATTTCTGGTAGTTCTCTGTCAGTGTACTGTTCCAGTCGTTTCTGGTTGTTCTTTAGCAGGATTTTGCTAGTGTGTGATATTAGTGATATTGCTTAACAATTTCCACACTCTGTCGGGTCATCTTTTTTTGGAATGGGAGTTAACTCAGATCTTTTCCAGTCAGTTGGCCTAATAGTTGTCCTCCAGATTTCTTGGAAAACTTTGGTGAGCACATCCAGGACAGCATCTTGTTTGTTGAAATATGTCAGTTCGTATTCAATCAGTTGCTGGGGCTTTATTTTTTGCCAAGTAATTCAGAGCAGCCTGAACTTCCTCCTTCATCACCATTACCTCTTGATTTTGGTTTATTTTCTACAGATGGTTGACCTTCCTACATTATTTTAATTTTGACTGCTTTTTATAGTTGGTTTTCTATGAACATGCACCAGCTAACAAAACAGGAAAAATGGTCCAAAAGTGCCTTAGTGACAAAGGAGAATAGTTTGAAGTTTAAAAACTAAAAGAGGCTTTATTGGTAACAATTAACAATTGATTATAAATAAAAATAATTTACTGACACCTATCTTTACATAATATTCCATATCTTAGTGGCAGTGAGGTGAATTAAAACATTTTCCCCCCTGGTCTAGTGTAGTTGTTTACATGCACTGCTTGTCCAAATCCGTGATCCTCAAACTTTTATTCCGGAGTCTCCCTAAAATTCTCCTGACACTCATTTGCCTACCTACAAGAGTCTCTACTGTTAAGAAATAATACCTGAAATAATTCATTTTGCTTCCTGGGCAACAGGTATCACCAGCCCAGCCCACCCCTAGCACCGGGGGAAGACGGCGACGCACGGTGGATGAAGATCCAGATGAACGGAGACAGCGCTTTTTGGAGCGCAACAGAGCTGCAGCCTCCCGTTGCCGTCAAAAACGGAAGCTGTGGGTATCCTCCCTAGAGAAGAAGGCAGAGGAACTCACTTCCCAGAACATTCAGCTGAGTGTGAGTGGGTCTTGAATGATTATTTGGCATTGTTGAGTCTAAAAAATAGGATTAAATCATAAAAAAAGTGAGACGTTATTTACTGTTTTGTGTTGTTGAGTCTGAACCAACTCAGACCTGACCCTCCAGTGGATTTTCAGAGTCTGTAAATTGCATGGGAAGAGATTGTCCATCTTCCTCCCCAGAGCAGCTGGTAAATTCAATCTGTGTGCCTTTGGGCTGGCAGCACAACTCTTTACACACTAGGCCACCGAATTCAGTTTTTATATAGAAAATAGCAGTTCTCTAATTATAACAGATCCATAAGATTTGCCAGGAGAAATGCAGAAAGAATCTTTTTTTTATATTGCATTTCACTTCACACAATTTATTGTCTTATAGGTTTTTTTGTTGTGTTTTTACTCCTCTCTTACACATTTTTTTTAATTTAGTTTGTTTATTTTTCATTTCAATGAACATCTACAGAGATTTTGGAATTCCATTCATTCATTGTTGCACCCTTCTCCCCGCACCACCCCCCCCCCCCCGTTTGCTCCTCTCCTTGAAAAGCAAAAGAAAAACTCCCGCATTGGTACACAATCCCCCCGCACCTCCCCAAACCCCACCCCCTACCCCCAAATATAATCCACTCTGCAACCCAGAAAGAATCTCTTTTAACAGAGTTGAAATTGCTTCCCAAAAAATAAGAAAAGGCACTCACCTTCTTTTTTTTTTTTGGCACTCACCTTCTGTTTACAAATCTGTTACTATCCATAGACCAGGCCATCCATAGACTGACTCATTTGGATGAAGAAAATTGATTTAAGTACCCTGGATGCTCTTAAATTATTAACAGGATTTGATGAGTCTGGAACACCCAAAAGGAAATGTTTTTGCTCCACATGATCCACCTTAATTCTCAGTTTTATGGGAATTAATACAGTTTCATTCCCAGCTCTAAAGGATCTTCTTCTAACTGAACCTTTAAAAAGTAAGGGAAAAGCTATTAAACCTTCCAAACATTTTTCTGAATGTTATTTTCTCTTCAGATTATGTTAAAATATTTAATTACAATTGAGTTCTAAGAAATATTTGTCTCCTATGTACCGTCGAGTCAGTGCATAAAAATACCTAGGAGGTTTTTAGAGTGTTTATAAATTATATCCATGGGAGGAGACTCCCATCTTTCTCCTGCCGAGCCACTGGTAGATTTAAATCACATGCCTTTGGGTTGGCAGCACAGCTTACCACTAGGCCACCAGAAGTGTGTGTGTGTGTGTGTGTGCGCACACATGCACCAGTTATATCCTCTTCCCTGTAAGTTAGTTGTGTGCCTTTCAAAAGATACATGAAGATTTTGTTTTGCTTTTTTAGTCATAGTTTTGATAAGAGGTGAGTGTATGTTTCAGCATAAATGGCATAACAGTATCTCCTGGATATTTAGCCCCGTATATAGAATCTACTTTTTTTTTTCTTTTTTTTAATAACTTTAGTAGTACATTCCAGGGAGTTCTGACAGCCTAGTGACAAGATGCTGCACTGCAATCCCAAAGGCACTTGGCTCAAGGCCACCAGCTGCTCTGTGGGAAAAGGATGGGGAATCTCCTCCTGTGCAATTAACTGCCTCTGAAAACCCACTTGAGGGTCAGCTATGAGTTGGTTCCAACTCAACAGTACACAACAGCACAGTAGTATATTCTATACGTTATAAGATATGATATGTTTAGATGGTCTTGTATTCTTTTTATAGGACAGCAGGGTTATAAAAGTAAACAGTTCTGTTGTCACATTGGGTAACAGGAGTGAGGGGGAGAGGGGAAAAACAGAAATGTAAACAAAGAACTCTCCAAAGACCTAGACAAAGGAGGATCAACCTGGGAACAAATGAGATAAAGACAATATGGCTGTTGCAGTTATTAAATAGGAACCAGATATATATAACTGTTTAAAAGGGAGAAAGGGCTTGGAAGAAAAGGAAATCATTAGGACAGCAAAGATTAGTGGAGGCCTTGGGGTGAAGAAATCACTAAAGTGCAGTGAGGACTTGAGACAGGGAAATAAAAGTAATAGATCAATAGTAGTTAATTACAGAAAACACAATGTATGGAAATGATTATATAAAACAAAATATACATGAGTGAAACAATGTATATGAATGACTATATAAAAGTGAATTATTATTTTAAAAAAGAGTAAGTAGTTCTGTTAAATAGTTTCCTACAAGTGTATTTCCTTAGTCCAAGGACATATTCAATATTAATTTGAATACAGTCATATTTTTTCAAAGTAGTGGAGGGGTTTTTTTATGATAAAAACTTCACTTTTCCTTCCATTGATGATCATTCTGGTCCTGGGCTGTCTGAAGCCTTGCTGAATCAAGAGTCTTACCAGATGCAAGGGGGGAAAAATTCAGACAACATTCTTTTCATACTTTAAGAAAAGCAACTATTGTATCCAAGACTAGAGATTTTTTTTTTTTAATTACTTGCTCTGTGCTGTTGAATTGGATCCGACTGGCACAAGAGGAGATTGTCCCTCCTTCTCCAGTGGATCATCTGGTGATTCTAACTATGCACCTTTGGGATTGCAGCGCAGCTTTTTGCCACGAGGCCACCAGAACTCCCTTAATTTTCTTTTATTACATTATTTATTCATTATTGCACATTTTCTTCCCACCTTTTTGCTACGCTTCCCCCAATCCACTTTACAATACATCTCTTGTTTCTAATTGTTGTCATACATATACTACTTAATCATATACTCCTTTCAGACCATTTCTTCCCCTCATCTGTTCCAGTGCAGTATTCATTATCCGTCCACTCTTTTCCTATTCCCCCTCAATCTCCAGTGCCAGTCTTACTGTATAACAGTGATGTTATGCAGTATTTTTCCTTTTGTGACTGAGATATTCACTAGGCATAATGTCTTTCAGGCTCACCCATGTAATGTAATGTTTTTACAAGTACATTGGTGGTTTTTTGGGTGTTTGGGTTTTTTTTTTTAATTAATTTTAATGAAAGTTTACAGAGACTTAGGGTTTCCAGTCATTCATTGTTGCACTTTTCTCCCTGCCCACCCTTCGCCCTCCCAGTTCATTGTTTTTTTATTGCTGCATAATAATCTATTGTGTGAATATACCATTGTTTTTCTATCCATTTGTTTGTTGATGAGCACAGGGGTTGCTTCCATCTCTTTGCTACTGTGAATAATACAGCAATAAAAATAAGTGTGCGTGTCCAGTCAAGACTCTGGTTTCTTTAGAGTATATTCATTCCCAGTAGAAGAATTGAAGGGTCAAATGGCATTTCTCTTTCCAACATTTTGAGAAAGGGCCAGACCACCTTCCATAGTGGTTTACCATTTTACATTCCCACCGGCAGTGAATAAGAGTTCCAATCTTTCCACAACCTCACCAGCATTTATTGTTTGCTGCCCTATTGAATTTTGCTACTATTGTTGGAGTGAGATGGTATCTCATAGTTAAGATTAATTATCTTAATACTTTTTTCCTACTCTCCCTCCTCAGAATGAAGTCACATTACTACGCAATGAAGTGGCTCAATTGAAACAGCTTCTTTTAGCTCATAAAGATTGCCCTGTCACTGCACTACAGAAAAAGACCCAAGGCTATCTAGGTGAGTGACTAACATTCTAATTAAGTTCAACCAAAAAATAAATCATATGTATTGAATACTCAACTCTCATAATATTATAACTCCATCTGAATGTTCTAGGAAATTCAGATTGATGAGTAAGTACCTTTGTGGATCAGCCAGTCTTTAAAAATTTTAATAAAAAATAAAAATAAAAAATAATTTTTACAAATTTTTATTGAATTAGCCAAATTATTGTTGGAAATGAATAATGTCTGCTTTAGTGGTTGCCTACTTTCTATTAGTAGCTTCCCTGACATTTTTCCCAGTTTTTTCCCCTGAGGTAGACATTCTGTTCATTTCTGCATCAGAAAATGGCACTCAGGGTAGGTCACTTACCTGATGTTATAGAAGTGAATGAAGGGATAGAGCCAAGATTTCCATCCTAGTTTTTCTGATTTCAATGGGTGTGTCTTTACTTAGGATATAAATAGCACATGCTAGAAAAGCAGTATTTTGTTAAATATTGGGACTTTTTATTAGTTTCAGTTTGTAATTTAGAGCACATAAAATAATGATAGAAGTGAACAGAGTTGTGATCAAATGAAGCAAAAATTTGCATAAATAATTTCTGGTTTGTCTATGAAAATTAAATAAATTCATATAATTATTGGCTACCAAATTTTGGCATGTTGAATTATTTTCCACTTACTGTCTTTATCACTTCAGAGATGTAATCCTATAAAAAAGAGTAACCATATCATCAGTTTGAAGTATTTGTATTTGACTTTTAATATGTATTTTAAAAGGAGCTCTAGTGGCCTGGTGGTAAGGAGTTGTGCTGGTATCCCAAAGGTAAGTGGTTCAAATCCACCAGCTGCTCTACGGGAGAAAAAGAGGCAGTCTCCTCCCATGAAATTAACTGTCTCCAAAAATCCTCTAAAAGGACAGCTATGGGTTGGTTTCAACTCAACAGTACATAACAACAACTTGCATTTTAAGGCACATACATTCATTAAACAGGTATTATTTATTGATTGCCTATTCTGGAAGCAAATAGATTAGATTAAAATCCCTGCCCTTGATGAGTTTATATTTTCTTATCAGAGACAGACAATAAACAAGGCAAATAAATAAAATATATGGGATGTTAGATGATAGAAGATTTCAAAAGGCAGCATGGGATGACAAAGCAAAATATTACAATGAAATGTGCAAGGAGTTGGAGTCAGAAAATCGAAAGGACCGAACTCAGCATTTCTTTAGCTCAAGGAACTGAAGAACAAATTCAAACCTCGAGTTGCTATAATCAAGGATGCTTTCGGCAGAATGTTAAATGATCCAGGAAGTAAAAGAAGATGAGAAAGAAGAAAGAATATTCTGAGTCACTGTATCGAAAGGAATTGGAAGACACAGAAGAATTTCATGAAACAACATATAAGCAAGAGCCTATGGTGATGAAAGAAGAAGTTCAGGCTGCTTTGAAGGAAATGGCAAAAAATAAGGCTCCAGGAATAGATGGTATACCAGTTGACATATTTCAACTAGATGCTGCCCTGGACATGCTCAAAAAGTTGTGCCAAGAAATCTGGAGAACAGCCAGTTGGCCAACTGACTGGAAGAGATCTATATTTATTCCTATCACAAAGAAAGGTGACCCAACAGCGTGTGGAAACTATAGAACAATCTCACTGATTTCACATGCAAGCAAGATTTTACTGAAGATTATCCAAAAACGACTGGAACAGCACATCAGCAGAGAACTACCAGAAGTCCAGGCTGGGTTTAGAAGGGGTCATGGTACTAGGGATATTGTACCTGATGTTAGATGGATCTTAGCTGAAAGCAGAGAATACCAGAGGAATGTCTATCTGTGTTTCATTGACTATGCAAAGGCATTTCATTGTTGTGGATCATAACAAATTGTGGCTGACTCTGAGAAGAATGGGAATCCCAGAACACTTGATTGTGCAAATGCGAAACCTATTCTTGGACCAGGAGGCAGTCGTCAGAACAGAGCAAGGGAACACTGCATGGTTCAAAATTGGGAAGGGCATACGCCAGGGATGCATCCTATCTCCATACCTTTTCAACCTATATGCAGAGCAGATTATCTGGGAGGCTGGGCTCTATGAGGAGAAATGTGGGGTCAAGATTGGTCGACAATTTATCAACAATCTGTGTTATGCAGATGACACAACCCTGCTTGCTGAAACTGAAGAGGACCTGAAGCACCTGCTGCAGAGGGTCAAGGACTACAGCCTCCAATATGGATTGAGGCTCAATGTCAAGAAGACAAAGATTCTCACCACTGGACCAATTGGCAGCATCAGGATGGATGGTGAAGAGATTGAGATTGTACACAGCTTTAGTTTGCTTGGCTCCACAGTCAACAGTCTTGGCACCAGCAGCCAGGAAATTAAAAGGTGCATTGCCATGGGAAGGTCTGCTATTAGGGACCTCTCCAAAGTACTGAAGAGCAATGGTGTCTCTCTGGAGACTAAGTGCGTTTGATACAGGCCATGGTCTTCACAATCACTTGTTAATGCATCAGAGAGTTGGACAATGACCAAGGAGGGTAGGAGAATTGATGCCTTTGCGCTGTGGTGCTGGACAAGAGTATTGAGAATATCATGGACTGCTAGGAAAACAAACAGATTCGTCCTAGAAAGGGTTAAACCGGGTGGCTCCTTGGAGGCAAGGATTCTGAGGCTCAGTCTAACATACTTTGGACATGTTGTGAGGAGAGACTGGTCCTTGGAGAGGGACATCATGCTTGGGAGGGTGGAGGGACGGCACAGGAGGGGAAGGCCCTCTATGAGGTGGATTGATTCAGTGACTGGGATAATCGGGGTGTGAGTGTCAGAGACAGTGCGATTGGCACAGGACAGAGCAGAGTTTAGGGCTGTTGTACATAGGGTCGCTATGAGTCGCAAGCGACTTGATGGCACATAACAAGAACATGTTAGATGATAGTGATTATGTAAACTGTATGATGTGTTAGATCATAACAAGCCTAGGGACACAAAAAAAATAAAATAGCAGTACTGAAATTATATATGAAATAGCTTTTGAATAAAGACCTAAAGGTAATGAGGGGAGAGAGACATGTGGTTATATGGGAGGAAAATACTGCAGGCAGCAGGAGTAGCAGATGCAAAGACCTAAGCCTAGCACACTCCAGGGACTTCAGGGAGGCTAATGGAATAGAGAGACTAGGAGTTTGACAGAAGTTGTGTTGAGATAGAAGAGCTAAGGGGAACATATCATGTAGTGTCTCTTTGGCCATAAGTGAGATCTCAGCTTTTATTGTAATTGGTAGCCAAAGAAGAGTAATTGGCTGAGCTGCCTTACATTTGGGTGGGATCATTTGAGTGACTTGACTGATCATTGATTTACATTTGAGCTGAGACTTCAGGGTGCAAGGGCAGACAGTCTGCCTAGGAAGCTGTTGCAGTAATATAAGCAAGAGATGATAAATCTATGACCAGAATATGGTAGTGAAAGTGGTTGACTTTTAAGGATGTATTTTTACAGGGATTGATATTGAGCCTGTTGGAGCAGTACTTATGAGAAAGAAAAGTAAAAACTGCACCAAAGTTTTTAGCTTGAGAACCTACAGGAATAGAATAACCATTAATTGAAATGGAGAGAAGAGTATATTAGGACCTCATTTATTTGACGAATTGAGGAAGCGAGACATGTCAAATAGATATGTCAAGCATTTGGTTTTATGGGTTCACATTTAGAGGAAAGGTTGAAGATGGCATTTTGTGAAAAGCTCTGTCTCACATACTTTGGCCACATGGCCAGGAGATACCAGTCCTTGGAGAAGGACATCATGCTTGGAAGGGTGGAGGGACAGCGCGGGAGAGGAGGACCCCAGATGAGATGGATTGATACAGTAACTAGGGTAACAATGGAGGTAGGTGTTTGGAGTCAGTGAGACTGGCTCAGGACAGGGCAGTTGTAGATAGGGTTGCTGTGGGTCGCAGGTGACCTGGCAGCACATAACAACATTTTTATTTAGTTTTTACAGCATGAAACTAGATGATGTACCCAACCTAGCAATTACAGATGGAAAAGGAGACATCATCCCAGAACTGTGTTCTGAGAACAAAGAGACAAGAAAGAAACCACAAGAGATCCAGAGAATGAGCTGCAAGAAAGGTAGAAAAACTAGCTGAGTGTAAAGTTCTGGAAACCAAGAGAAGAAAGTAATGAAAGTTGAGCAGTGTGCTACTTCAGAATCTGTTGATGAGCCAAAAAAGGGGAAGGATTGCGTATTACTATAAACTTTCAGTTCATTCCTTAGAACAACTATAACAGATCCATTGAATTTTATACATTTGTTACAGCAAAGATATATTTCATTACTGCTATAATATACACTTTATTGTAGATAACTTGTAACAAAGATGAGTTCCAAAACAAATAAAACACTGCCACTACTCTGAGTCTCTCAGAAGTTTACAGGGAGATAAATATATAAATCAGTGAACAAGGGAAGTACCAGTGCCCTGTTCAGAGAGCTTGTACTGGAAGCTTCCTGAAGACAAGGTTCCCATTTTATTCTTTCATATTTGATACAGTGATGATGTTCAGTAGATGTATGAGAAATAAGTGAATGGTTACTCTGTAAGCACAAAGGATGAAATAGCTAATTGCTTGAATATAACAAAGGCTTCACAGTGGAGTATTTGAATCCTGAAAAATTACTCAGGCATTCTCGGGAATGTTTACCTTATCCCACACAGCTCTTTTTTTTTTTTATTAATTTTAATTAAAGTTTATAGAGGCTTAGGGTTTCCAGTCATTCATTGTTGCACTTTTCTCCCTCCCACTCCCTCCCCCAATTTACTCTTCTCCTTGAAAAGAAAGAAAAACTATTTCATTGTTATACAGTCTCTCCCCTCAATTCCACTCCACTATGCAGCCTTCACTCTGGACTTCTGTAATGACAAGAATACCCATTCATATGTCCCTTTTAAACAGATCTCTCCCTCATCTGTTTCAATGCAATATACATCATCCCTCCCTTTTCTGTCTTCCCTCAACCCCAATTTCAGTCCCGTTTTACAACAGTGGCCCTACTGTTGTAGAATGGGACTGTCCTTGGGGTTGGGGAGAGACTGAGTAAGATGGGTTCAATAATGTATACTGCACTGAAACAGAGGAGGGAGAAAACTGTTTAAAAGAGATATATAACTAGGTATTTCTGTCATCACAGGAGACTAGAGCGAGGGCTACATGGTGGAGGGGACCTGGGGGAGGGTTTGTAAAACAATGAAAGAATCTTTTCTTTTACTTTTCCATAATTTTTGGACTCATGTACTTATAACTTGTTAGTCAAATTTGTGTCTTCTAGGTTGCAACACCCCCATGATACATCTTCAAGGATATGAACATGTACGGCCAAGCACAATCAATAAGAGTGCATCTAAATTCCAAAATCAATCTCCATAATAGTCTGTGTGTTTCCTACTGCCAAAGGGGCCCTTTAGAGTAGTGAGAGAAGATCTTCACCCTGAAACCCACAGCGTCCCTTTTCAGCAGGAAGTAGCTAAGAGAATACGCCATCCCCTTTTCCTTATGACTCAGGGTGAAGTCTCTCTCAGGGAGGAGTGATAGGGAATGGCAAAGGACACACTGACAAAGGAGATTAATCAGAACTGGCTTTGACAAGCACTGTGGCATTTGGACAAGAACAAACTGGGAGGAGGGTAGAGAGAATAGTGCAACAATGAATGAGTGGAAGCCCAAAATCTCTGTAAATGTTTATGAAAATTAATAAAATATAGAAAAAAAACAAAACAGTGGCCCTATGCAATATTTGCCATAATGTCCTCCAGGGTCACCCATTTTGTATAATATTTCATGAGTTTCTTGTTTTTCAGTGCAGCATAGAATTTCACTGTGTGAATATACAAGAGCTTCTCTATCCATTCATTTGTTGATGGGCACACAGCTCTTTTTAAGCAGCTTAAGAGGCATATTTGATATTTAATAACACTTCTTGATTAATGAGCAACATAAAACTACCTTTTTATAGCGCTCAGAATTTTATCTAATGTAGCTCATAGTGTTTTTAAAAAATGTGTTTTCAATTATTAATGCTTAACTAATTGGTAGTTAAAGAGGATCTAACAGGTCTCTTATTTGTGGTGTTGGTCAGGGACTGACCATTTTATGTTAGATTGATATTTACCATATATCACACATATATATCTATCAATTATATATCACAGATATGTATCTGTGGTACAAAATACATGCTAGAGAAACATCATCAAATCATTTAATTCCTATAGAAATTAAACTAGAGAGAGATCTAACTTAAATCCTTAAAGATGTGAAAAAGTGAAAGAATGTTCCAAATAGGGGTAATGCGAATTAACAATGTTAAAAATTCACTTTATTAGAATACAAAAAAAAAAAAACAACAAAACACCCCAATAACCATTGCTGCTGAGTCTGTTCTGACTGATAGTGGCCCTTTAAGGGCAGAGTAATCTTTGCAAAAGCCTACTGTCACATCTTTCTCCCATGGTGTAGATAGATGGGAGGGGGGAGAGAGAGTGAGTGAGTGAGTGAGTGAGTGTGTGTGTGTGTGTGTGTGTGTGTGTGTGTGTGTGTGCATGCATGTATGTACGTAAAATTACAGTAAACCCACACAGATCTCTCTAGTTGGTTCCAACTCATAGTGGCCTTCCAAGCCTGTAAAGTGTCACAGGAGGAGGAAACTGCCCTTTTTGTCCTGCAGAGTGACTAGTGGATTCAAACCGCTGAAGTAATGCAGTCTTTCGTTTAGCAGCACAACTCAGTACAGATTACACTACCAGAAAATATGGGTCAATTTTGCCCTACTTCTTGCTTTCCTTCTCACAAGTTCCCGCTTCCTAGCCCTTAGAAGCCAAGATTCTGGTTTTGGTTTTTTCCACCTTAAAAAAGACCAGCTTACTTTTCTTTTGGCTTCTTTTTGTTTTCTAACCACTTATCTCTGGTGTTTGCTTTCCTTCCTGACAGAAAGCCCTAAGGAAAGCTCAGAGCCAACGGGTTCGCCAGCCCCTGTGATTCAGCACAGCTCAGCAACAGCCCCCAGCAATGGCCTCAGTGTTCGCTCTGCTGCTGAAGCTGTGGCCACCTCGGTCCTCACTCAGATGGCCAGCCAAAGGACAGAACTGAGCATGCCAATTCAGTCGCATGTGATCATGACCCCACAGTCCCAGTCTGCTGGCAGATGATGCCTTCCCTGGTGGAGAGGTCCCCAGTCAGAGCTCGCCCACTTCAAGAACCAAGGGAGATACCATCTTATACACTCCCATCTACCTTGGATGTGGGAATATGGAGGGGAAATTGTGTGTTGTGAGTCATGGACAGGTGTGGGGCTTTATTCTTCAGCTACGTGGTCATATACATTTGACACCTGTATTAGGATCCACCCAGCCCCAGAGCCACATAGATCGTCCCTCTACCCGTGGGGGTTTCTGATGTACACATAACCAAAGGCCTTTCCAGATGGTCAGAACAATCAGTCTTGCCCCATGCACGTATACTAAACTCTTTTAACACTAACTCTTGCACTTCTTGGTTTGGGGTTTCTCAGTTTCTTCTCTTCTCATTAAACTGTCACTGTTACCTTCTTGTTCCATAATAGCATCTTGTCACTTCCTCTCAGTAGAGAGAGGCTAGATTTGATGGCTGTCACATACTTAATTCATCCCCAGCCTCTCTATGGACTCAGGACTTTTTCTCCCAGTAGCTGCTTCTTTACTCCTCTTTTTCTCCCTCAGCTCTAGTTCAAACATTCACTTATGGAGAATCTAAGGTTACTTTTGATTTATGAAATAGCAGTATTTTCCAGCTCTTGCATAAACTTTAGTCCTTCATCTACCAAACAAAATACAGGAATTTCATTGTAATTTTGTTGTTTCCATTTATTTTCAGAGCCATTTGGGTACTTTATCTTTTGACTTTACCTAATAATATAGTGGTGGGGTCTTTTCCACCTCCTCACTAAGCCTTGAAAACCTCATCTTGTGGCCTTATATTATTAAATATTAGTATAAAGGGAAAGAGCCTTTTTATGTGGTGCCGTCATCTGCCTTCAGTTCTAATCTCAGAGGAGGCAGGAACAATGTTGTTTAAAGCTGGTTCAGATTACTAGATTAATTGATGCTTTTGTTTTATAAGGCTTTACTAGCCAAAACATATTTATTCCTTTCAGTCATCTTTCTGCTTCTGCCTCTCCCTCTTCATGCCACCTTACTGCTGATGTCTGTTTTCTGTAACTAGTTCAGACGCAGCCCTCTTAGAGGTTCAAGTATTAAAAACTCTATACCCCCTCACTCTTTCCCATCTCTCACCCTCACTCATCTGTCTTCTTTGATGGCCTAAAATCACAAATTTCCCTCACCCTTTGGATCCACCTTCTTTCTGTTTCTTCAGACCCTATTATTTCTTCAGCTCTTTCTGCTCTCTGGTCCTTAAAACACATTGGCTGTCCATACTGTGAGGCATTGTAGCCAAGGTCCTGCGTGAGATAAGTTTAGATGAGGAGATAGGAAGGTGCAATACTGATCTTCAGAAATATTCAGACTCATTGAAAGATCTGGCCTGCCTCAGAAATTGGTGACTCTGTCAGCTGCCATTTTTGATGAGTTGGAATGTAGAGGGTAGAAATTCTTCTCCTGTCCCTCCTTCTTCCCCACTAGGACTTTTTCTCTTTCCTTGGCTCTGAACTATGCAATTTCTACCAGAGCCATAGGAAACAATCCAGAGCCAGAGGCCTGTGGCTAGATAGGTCAGCTTTAATAGCCCTTCAGTGTGAAACCTTTCCAATTGTCCTGGAGCCACTTTCTACCATCTGTCCAAGTCAAAAACTTACTTCTCTCCATCTTGTATACTTGCACCATAAACATAATACAAAATAGCCACCAGCTTCCTTTCTTATTTTGTCTTCCAAAAGTGACTGTCATAATATAAGAAAACATTCTGAGCTACAAATTTTCTATCTTCAGCATAATATACTGACTGGTAAGCCAGTCAGGTGGTTTGTTTTGTTGCATTTGTTTTAAATTTCCCCTCCTGCTTTTCAGATCTAGTGCTGAATAAGTCACACCTGGCGAAGAAAAAGGAGAGAAAACATAGGTTTTCTTGTCCTCGACCACTAGGAACCCAACAGGATGAGCCCCCAGGGTGACTCATAATAGCAAATGTCATGGCAGATGGTCAGGACACAGGTTGCCACCTCCAGGGACTTCATTTGCCTTGGAAAATTCACAGCCATAATTTGAGCTCAGGACTTTTCCTTTAGACAACTGTTCCCTTCAGTTTTCTTCTGCTTTAAAGTTTTTTACCCTTTTTTCTTGTCTTGATTTCCCACTAAGCAGCCTTGCCCTAAAGCTTGACTGAGTTTATGGCTCCTAAGGAGTCTTCATAAGATCTTCAAATATTTTTCTTCCTCTTTTATTCAACTACTTTAAAAGTTAAGAATCAACTCATCACTGGACACATGCCTTGCTTACTGTTTGGCCTTGGAGGAGGTCTGAATCCCTGTGTTGGATGGCTAATTTATGTAGCTTACTTAAATTAAGCTTCTTAGCCCTCAAGTCTAATTCCTTGAGCCCTTGTCACATTTTCATCAGTAAGAAATTACTATTGGAGACCTGAATAAGGGGCATTGCCAGAGCCTTAGTTGTGAAACAACAATGAAATGTGGAAAGAGCAGACAGGCCTTTAATCTTTTTGTTTCCTTTTTATTTTTTTTCTCCTCCTTTTGGTTTTTATCCTCCATATCACTAAGAATGAAGAGCAATTGCTCACCCAGAATCCTCTCCTACAGTGAAGGAGAACATAATTTACCTTGTTACTGCTGCCAGACAGGTCATTCTTCATTGATCTTTGCTTTCCAGACATATCTGGACCAGAACCAAATGTCGTGGAGTGTATCACTTAGTCCTTCCTTAGAGCCAAGATCATTCTAGGGGCCTCACAAGGAGAGGGAGAATGAATACAGGATTCAAGCCTTCCGCTTCACTCCAAAGATACTACTACAAGATACCCAAGGCCATAGAAAAAGACCTGGTAAGAATCAGGTTTAGTCTGCTAGAACTTCCGGCCCTTTGCTCATGAAAGAAAACTTGCTTAGAGTTGAAAACTCCTAAGAAAGTTTCCCATACTACTAGGGAGGACTAAAATGAGTAGTACCTCTTGTGTTTACTCTTTACCTGTTTGTTGTTCACCCAAGGTCTGGCTTCTTTTAGTCTCTACTTCTCTCCTTGACCCTGACCACTAAGCCATGTGCGCCGGGTAGTGGTAAAAGAGGAGTTGGGCTAACTGAACCACACCTTCCTGCCTTACTATCCCCATTCTGTTCTTGACTCCTTTCTTTTATCTGCTGCCCCCAGCACCACCCAGTGTGGTAAATGAGGTGTGTAACCATAACCATGCCCCATCTATAGTTTGACCTACCAAGCAGACAACAAAAAAAGTCTTCCTCTGGTTTCTGAAGCTCTGTTACTCCCCATTGAAAGGTTCTTTAAAGGTGCTAGCCCCTAGACAGCTCTCTCTCCCACCCAAATTCACCCCTTTCTTTCATAATTTACTTCCCATCCTCAAATCATTATTTTCCATTAATACTGTACATTGCATACACAGGAAGGAAATGTAATATTTTTTAAAAGTTTCACAATCAGTCTTTTTATTCTAGTCCTAGCTATCTACATATGTCTTTTTTATAAGCTTCATGCTTTTTTTAAGACTTTTGATTGAGGTGGAAGGGAGGAACAGGACAAGCAAGGATACTAAAGCAGATTAGAAGACTCCTATCCATTACACAACCCTTAGAATCCCTCTCAGAGTACTGAACTCATTCTTTGTGTTTGCATGTTATGTGCATATAAACATAAAAGCCTTCTCGCCTACCCCAGTGTGATGACCCAGCACGAAAGATAGGTATAGGTGCCTGCTTACCCTTATCCCCACCCTCTGCACCATATTATTCATTTGTCTCACTTTGGGCTAAAGTCCTGCTCAAAAATGAGAAAAGGTCAAGGAGAGAGCAGAGCAGGTAAAAGCCGCTTATGCCCTTTCTAGTTTCAGGTTTGTCTTGTAGCTACTAGGGTTTATATTTTTTTTAATTGGGGTCATGGAGGGTCTGGTAACAGGAATACCTCACCAGGGCATGGTGAGTGAGGTTTTAGCTCCACAAAGTGGCTCTAACTACCAGTTTCATTGGCTTGACTTTAGGAAAGCAATTCTCTAAATGTGATCAAAACCAGCCAACATCACCACCATCATCTAGGAACTTGTTACAAATGTAAATTATGGATCCATCCCAGACATACTGAATCAGAAATTATTTTTTAATCAGAAATTCTTGGGATGGGTTTTAACAAACACTCCAGGTAATTCTAATTATACCATCCACTGCCTTAGGATAGGCTGGGAAATTCTTACAGGATTCTTAAAGTCTTATACATTAAAGACTACCCATTGTCTTAGCACAACCAATTTTTTCCAGTTCCTCTGTTCTTTTTATTTGTTAAAACAGTCACACCACATACTCAGAATCAAGTTTGTCTCTTTCCCGATCATATCCCTGAAATCTGCCACTGGGTTGGTCTGAACAAAAGTTGTCCAGTGTTCCCTTGCAAACTGGTCATCCCATAATTTTTGTTATATTAAGGACCAGCTGGAGCTTTAGCTGTAATGTTCTCCCATATACAGACCTACCCTTCTTGGCAAGAAGATGAAACACACACACTACCACCACCACCACCACCCCAGCCCCAGCCTGAACAGTGGAGGCTGCAGCATCCTGACACCATATCTGTTTAAAAGAAAACAGTGTGTATCTATGATTATATCTCTGTTCATCTATATATCCTTGACATGTAGCAGTACCTCTCCATCTCATCAAGGAACTCAACTCTGGGCTTGGGTCTCCAAGTCCCAGTGGTGGGCTTTGACAGGTGGGAGGATACAGTGCTACAGGCTATTATTTTGTTACAAACCGTATTTTCCTTTCTCCCTTCCACCCAAATCCGCATGATCCCTGTGAGCAGGCTCTCACAATCTCCTGGGATGGGCTGAGACAGGGGCTTTGCTCTATTCTTCCCCATTCCTTCTTCATTCCCCTTTGCCACTTAGCAGTTATCTCCCCAGCCAGGCCTTCTCCCTCCTTTACCCTGACATATATTGTGCCTTATTTATGCTGCAAATATAACATTAAACTATCAAGAGAACCACTGTTAAGTCTGTTGCTTTAGTACTCTGACACACAAGTCCCAATGCCCACTCTTTCTGGGAACTCAGGGGCTTTCATATCTGTGATCTTCCTTTCATTCTTCCCTGTTCTGCAGACATGAGGAGTGAACATTTGTATCTCTACTTTTTGTATAGGGAAGGTACAATTTAGGTAAGGCTATTTTTATAAATTGCATAGTATGACAAGATACGGAACTAAAGTTTAGATCTGTACAGTGCCCCAGAATCAGAAGGCATCCAAAATTATGGGAACACTCTACCAAAGAACTAACGTGGTTTAAGTGTGTGGAGATTGTAGAATGCCTTCTTTCTGTGTTTGATCCCTGCCCACCTCACAACCACAGATAACAACCCTACCTTCAATAAGCTTCCTTCCAGCTTGACTGGGGGAAAAGGGCTGGAATGCTTATACAAAGTGAAGCTCTGAATTCTGTAGGTCTTGAGAACAGGTTCTGAAAATGAGGAGTAGAACTTGTATAGAATCCTGTAAGCAATAGCTTACAGGGAATAAAGTTAATATCCAGGGAGTAGGGGAGGGATGGAGAAAATCACTAATAACCTTATCAGTCTGTATTGTTATCACAAGTGCCAGGCTGAAGAACTGGACCAAAGAGGTGGTTGGTATCTCTGAGAGCCTGCCCAACTCTAATCACAAACCCACTGCTGTCAAGTTGGTTCTGACTCATAGCAACCCTCCATTTGGGTTTCCAAAGCTGTAAATCTATAAGAATGGGAGAGGACTACCCATCATTCTCCCATGGAGTGGCTGATGGATTCAAACTGCCAATTCCAATTAGCCGTCCAGTATGTACACTGTACTTCATCAGGGCTCCCTGGTGATTTCCCAGGAGGTGAGAAATTATTAAAATGTATGTTAATGGCTTGGGTTGGGTAGACGACTGATACAGGGAGCCTGAACCTCCTTAGAACGAGAACGGCAGAGACAGTCTTCATTGTACTGTAGACAGGATCACAGGTGCCCAGGAAGGGGTAAAGCAGTCACTGACAGCCAAATACCATAGCCAAAACCTAGAGATTTTGAAAGTGAGGATGAGACTTTAGAGGCAGAGCCATTTACTAAGTAATTAGAAATAACCCATTCCCATTTCTAACCAAAGAAGAGAAGCACTCACCTCATCCAGGCCACTAGCCCTTTCTGAATGCATACTTAGTTCAGATCTGCTTATAAGGTGATTAGACAAATACTAAGTAGTAGGGTTGTGAACATTTGAGTGTTTACTCTTTTTGCTAAGTGCTTTTCCTCCTTTTACAAGTGATTTGCTGTGATTTAGTTCAAGACATTTATCCAAGTCATAGAAGTATAAGAGCTACAGTTAAAACCAAGTTCTGTCTTACCTGAGTCATTAGTCCCAAGGCTGCTCTGTACCACTATTACAACAGGTAAGGAACAGGAAGTGATGCAAGAGTTACTTCCCAGAGAAGAATATGGACTTGCTACTACCTTTTAAGAAGCAGTTTTTTAAAAGAAGACAATAGGGGAGCTCTAGTGGCCCAGTGGTAAGGAGCTGCAACTACAATCCAGAGGCACACGATTCGAAGCCACCAGATGCTCTGCCGGGGGAAGGAGGGACAATCTCCTCCTGTACCAGTCAGATCTGATTTGACGGTACACTCACACAAAAATAATAAAAATTTAAAAAATAATTTTAAAAAGACACTAAGTGATGTAGTCATGTATGACTGCCAGATTCTGTATTTGGGACCAATTGTGAAATAGCTTATAAAAAGCATTACTTCTAGCTTCTTGTTATGTGCCTAGCTTCTTGTTGTTGTTGTTGTTATGTGCCGTCGAGTTGTTTGCGACTCATAGCGACCCTATGTACAACAGCCCTAAACCCTGCTCTATCCTGTGCCAGTCACATTGCCTCTGACACACCCATCCCGAGTACCCCAGTCACTGAATCAGTCCACCTCATAGAGGGTCTTCCCCTCCTGCGCTGTCCCTCCACTCTACCCAGCATGATGTCCCTCTCTAAAGACCTGTCTCTCCTTACAACATGTCCAAAGTATGTCAGACGAAGCCCCAGAATCCTTGCCTCCAAAGAGCAGCCTGGTTTAATCCTCTCTACGATGAATCTGTTTGTTTTCTTGGCAGTCCATGGTACATTCAATACTCTTCTCCAGCACCACAGCTCAAAGGCGTCAATTCTCCTTCTATCCTCCCTAGTCATTGTCCAACTCTCTGATGCATAACAAGTGATTGCAAAAACCATGACCTGTATCAGGCGGACCTTAGTCTCCAGAGAGACACTGTTGCTCTTGAGTACTTTAGAGAGGTCCCTAACCACAGACTTTCCCATCGCAATACGTTTTTTTATTTCCTGGCTACTGGTGCCAAGAGTGTTGACCGTGGAGCCGAGCAAACAAGCTGTGAACAATCTCAATCTCTTCGCCATCCATCCTGATGCTACCGATTGGTCCAGTGGTGAGAATTTTTGTCTTCTTAACATTGAGCCTCAGTCCATACTGAAGGCTGCAGTCCTTGACCCTCTGCAGTAAGTGCATGAGGTCCTTCTCAGTTTCAGCGAGCAAGGTTGTGTCATCTGCATAACGCAGATTGTTGATAGATCGTCCACCAATCCTAACGCCACGCCTCTCCTCATAGAGCCCCGCCTCTCAGATAATCTGCTCTGCATACAGGTTGAAAAGGTATGGAGACAGGACACATCCCTGACGTACACCCTTCCCAATCAGCGGAAGCGTGCTGGGCCCATAACCCAGAGGTCGACTTCTAGCTTAGGCTGCACTATAATAGATAGTACCTGGAACATCACATCCCAAACAAAACTTGCCCATGTCTACAAATCTAAGATACCATTTCTAAATCCTATGCCTTAAGGAGGGTAATGTTTCCTCAAGCAGAAAAGACCACAGGATAGAAGAATGAATTTGTTTTTAAACATATGAAAGGCTCATATATTTAATAGAGGTTTAGAGATGTTTTTCACAATGCAGTAAGGCAAACTGGTGGCTTCAAAGGGTGACTGAAGCCAGATTGGAGAAAACTGTTCAAAGTCTTCCAGGACATAAGTTCACTGGGACTGTAGTGTGAGAATAATTATAGCTAATATTTTGAGGATACTTGCTGTGTGCCAAATACTGTACCGAATGGATTATAAAATGTACTTCAAGTAATTTCACCATAGCCTTAGTTCCTTTGTCTGTTTCCGTGTTTTGGGTGAAGAAATGGGAAGTTTAGACTTGTTTCATTGATTGCCTAAGGGGAGGTTGATTCAAAGGCTACATACATCCCAGACTAAAGAATCATATTTGTAGGGTACTAACAAAGGAATTCCAGTATTAAGATGGAAACTGAAGGACCCCTTCCTAAGAAATAGTGAATCTGAGTTTTCCTACAGCAGAACAAAAAGCCCCTTCTGACAGTATCCTGGCACTGCCCTCCAATGTTCTGGGACCATAGTCAAGGCCTTGGGCCCTCCACCCTACCCTTTACCCTCACTACCTCACCTACATGCCTCCTTTTAAGGGGGAGCCATGGGTGGCAGTAGTAAAGAACTCAGCCACTGAGAGGTTGTTGGTTTGAACCCACCAGCCACTTCAGAGGAGACAAATGTGGAGATCTGCTTCTATAGAGACTGGCAGCCTTGGAAATCTCTGTGGGGACAAAATGAGTCAGAATGGCCCCAACAGCAGTTGGTCCTAGTTAGGGGATTTTAGAAAAAAGGAAATGTCTAGACCCAGCAGTGAGAGACTAAGGCCACAGGGTGGCAGCACTGCTTCAGCTACCAAAGAAGATGATGTGGGTCCTAAGCAGCATTCAAGATGAGGTTCTCCGAGATTTGAAGCCATCCCCTCTGTCCAAGATTTGACAGGTTGGGATACCAGCTAGCCTTCCAGCTCTGATCATAATTTTCCCTCTCTTCCCCGACAGGACTTCTTCTATGCTTTTTATTCCACAAGAGAAAGGAGTTGATCAATTGGAGCTCTCCAACCTGTTGAGGGATTGGGGGTTCTTATAAGGCCCTCTAGGGCCTAGCTCTGACAAAGCATCTGCAATTAATGGTTCTTCTAGAGCTCTAGAGACAGGATTTATGCATCTAATAAAGTCTGTAACTCTAGGCCTAGGGGCTGGGGGCTGGAGGCTGAGAGCAGAGTGTCCCAGGAGAGCCATGGGAGGGGGTCCCAGGTGGCATTTAATGGATCCGTGCATTTCCATTGCTTGCTCTAGATTCTCCTTCAGGCAGCTGTGGGTGGGGGACTGAAACTAGGAGGGAGCAGGTATAAGAGGCGGGTGTGGCTGTGGGAAGGCAGATGGCAGCATGGATTCCAGGCGGACAGCTGTGCTGCTGGGGTTGCTGCTGCTAATAACTGACTGGAGCCATGCTGAAGGACCAAGAAGCCAAGGTGAAGACCAGATCTCAGTGGTAAGTATGAGCCTCTCCCCTACCCCAACCTCTCACCATTTTCTCCTACCTTAGCTTAAGACCTGGACTTCAGGTTCAAATACCTTTGGCTACCAGTGTCTTCACATCTGAGAAAATGGCTACTCTGCCTCCTCCAATTACAAGGAAAGGTCACTCCCTTTTCCTTGAGTCCTAACCTTGCAAGTTATTTGCATTTTATCAGCAACTCCCTTGCCACAGGAGGAAGACAATGGCCTCTACCCACTGCAGGATGCCCAGACACCTGGATCACTCTTGCGATCCTTGCTCCAAGCCATGCAGAGACCTGGCAGGAGCCCAGCCTTCCTGTTTCAGCCCCAGAGGTGAGTCTGAAAGGGACATTGGGGCATATCTGGGGTGGAAAAGGTAGAAGACAGGAAAGGAAGTGGGATGGGGACTAAAGAAGGGCAAGAACTGAGAGGACCTAAACCTGAAGATTGATTAATCTCTTCTAAGGTTTGGCAGAAATACTCGGGCATCCTGGAGCAATGAACGGCTGAGTCCCCGGGCTGGGGAGGGGTTAAGTTCCCAGTTCTGGAGTCTGGCTGCACCCCAACGCTTTGGGAAGAAGTGACTTCTCATGCCCTAATGTGTTTGCATGTGAGACCCACATCCAAAAGTACCATGTGTTTCCCAAATAAAGAATCTGTCTTCTGATCCAAGTGTCTCTGACTGCAAATGTCTGGGAGGGAGGTCCCTTAATCACAATCAAATCAGACTCACTAGGAATGACCTGGCAGGGTTTCCCAGATGTTACTTCACTTAGTCACCTGTTATCAGAAAGGAAAATTTGGGACACACTGGTGTGGCAGAAGAGAAAAAACAAGTAGCAAAAAGACGAAGCACAAGAAGTTATCTGTTACTAACCATTCTGTCATTACTCAGGCAAACAGACCTCGGTTTAAAATCCAAAGAGCAGCATGTTTATTTTGGGATCCAGGGGAGAGCCCCAATTTTCTTTTGACTCATCATCACCATTAATACAATGATGATGGAACCTGGGCAGGTTGTGGCCTTGTGATCCCTGGCTCTTAACCCTGTGCTCTCCTTAGCCTCAAGGCAGGCAGTCTGTGTCAGAGGTAGAGAGGGCACCTCCAGAGGGTACCAGAGCTGTGTACAGGTGCATAGGCCAGGAGCAGGAAGTGCAGGAGACAAATGGGTGCATGTCTGTGAATCCAGCTGGGGCTTCACTTGTTGCCTGCCATGATCTTGAGGTACTGCAGAGCACGACGAGCAGCTTCACTACGGGCAGCCTCCCGGGTAGCTGCAGAGCCATGACACACGGTAGCTGGCTGTGTGGACAGTTCTACCAGGCACTGGCAGAGCCCACTCAGGCTTAACTCCTCTGGAGGCCAAGAAAGGAAGGAAGGAGGCAATATTGGGTTTATTTACATCCTTTTCATCACCTCCTAACTCCCCATGCTTGTTTTGATGTGGTCCCCACCCCCAAACCCCCAATCAGCCATACCAATATCTAGATAGCTGACATGGAAGGCCTGCTCCTCAGAGAGCTCACTAAGGACACTGCAGCAAGCAGGGCCCAGGGCACCAAGGGATCCCAAGGAACAGCTTCGAAGGGACAGGATCTTCTCTCCCACAGAATTTCGTAGGGAATCCCAGGTGCAGCCTGGGCCCCGGTTCCGAAGTCCGTCCAGGCGGGAGCTCACTCCCTGACAAGATGGCAACAGTGCAGTCAGGGGCTGTGGGACATTCAAAATCCAAAGAGGGGAAAGTCCAGAGTGCTTGCTCCAGCTTGCTACCCCCAGTCAAGAACCTCAACACCCCCACTAATTACTAACCCACTGAAGAGATGGCCCGGCAGCTTTCCTCATTCCAGCAACAAGCCTCCAGGGCCCTGGCCTAGCTTGCCTACAGCACTCATTAGGTAGACTGACAAGTGAAAACGCCACCTTGAGCTCCAAGTCTGATAGGAAATGAAGCAAGATACTTGTTCCTAATTCATATAACCAAGTCTGAAGTGTCCTGCTCCGATGTGGAGAGAGGCCCACAGCACTTGTCACTACAAGCAAGCCACTCACAATGGAGAAGTGATCATCATCAGGCTCCACCTCATTCCCATCTCGGGCATCCAGAGGCACTGTGTGCACTCGAAGCAACATCTTGGCTGCTGCATTACGCTTTGCCAGCTTTTTTGATGTGCCACTGCCTGCATGTGGATAGAGAGAGACAAATTATCATTTTCAATGGGCTGCCTTTTAGATTCCCCTCATAGGAATGTTAACTGGAAAAGGGTGCTCAGGGCCCGTTCATGCATCTGACAGAAAGGAGAAAGACAGAGTGTAGCTGGAAGTAAGAAGCAGAGCCTAGACCGAGAAGCAAGGTGAGTTGGAGCAGTACTGTGAGACAAGGAGCTGTGTCTTCTTGGCTAGAGTGCTGGGGATGGTAGCTCAAGTTCCCCCTTCTGCCCAGTTACCAATCTCAATGAAACGTTCCACTCTGCAGGTCATGGTAAACTCTTTACGGTGGGCTGGCCCGGACTCCTGGGTCACTGTGTACTCAGGCAGTCGCCAGCCTTTCTGCACCACCAACTCCTTGGAAAAGGTAGAAAAACAGTGATGCACAAGGATAAGTAAGAAAAGACTCCCTTATATCCATGCTGGTATTTGCCCTTCCTCCAGCCCCTGCAGCCTCAGTCTATTGGTTACAGGAGGGATAAAAGAAGGTGGAAAAAGCCTCCAGTACAGGGCTCCCCCTCTGCCTCCCCAAGAATACTTCCCTCATGACCCTGGTTCAAGGGAAGACAAACATGCATAAGAAATGAAGATGAGGCACACCTGCAGAGCACCGACAGGATTACACTCAGACTGCTGAGGGGAAACAGGGGACTGCACCTCCATGGGGGGGCTCCTGAAGGAAAAAGGGCCCAGGAGCAAAACTGAGGAAGATGGACACTCCTGTGGTTACTGGTGAGCCCAAGACCTAATATATGTTTTCATTTCCTTCATCACCATCTCCCTATTTTCCACAAGGGAAGCACTTACCTAACCACATGTCTAGCAGCCTTCCCTCCTGCTCTAGTGTGCTTCCCCCTCTCACCCAAGTAAGATTATTATCTCAATCTCATTTCTGTTCTACACATTCAGGCATCATCTCCCCAGAAGAGAAGAGGAATTGGATATCCAGCTCTGGAAGCACATGATAGGACTCAGTGATGGAAAGCCAACCCAGAAGAAAATGGGGCTTAAATATGGCCCAACATCACCCTTATGGCTATTTAAACTCATAAATTACTATTACTTTCTGCCTCAAGAGTTTACCAACTAGGGGAGCTCTGGTGGCCTAGTGGCAAGAAGCTGCAACTACAATCCCAGAGGTGCACGGTTCGAATCCACCAGATGCTCTGCCGGGGAAGGAGGAGCAATCTCCTCCTGTACCAGTCAGATCTGATTTGACGGTACACGCACACAAAAATAATAAAATAAAATTAAAAAAAAAAAAAAAAGTTTACCAACTGATGCAAATTCTTCTAGCTCTGATCCCCAACTAATCCTGCCTCTATTCACTATCAGACTTCCTCATGCTCTGACTAGTCCAAGTCTAAGCACTGGAGCCAGAAGCTAAGACCCCGCCTTTCTCCACCTCAAGCTGTCAGGAAACACAGATACCTGGCTGGGACAGCAGACAAAACAGGAGTAGCAGCGGGTGCAGCAGTAAAAACTGGAATGTCTTCAGGCAATGAAGAGTCTAGGGGAGAAAAAGAACTTCCCGAGGGGAAGGGAGCCTTTGATTCAAATTTGTGAGTAAAGGGGATGAAGAGTGGGGTACTCAGGTCTGCCTGACCTGCCCATCCCCAAAGACTTAAAAAAATGCTCAACCAATACTTCTTTCTTCCAGGATCATTTGCTGTCAAAACTGAACCATAAAAAACTGAGAAAGGGAGGAGGAAGATATTTTCCTATCCAAGTGTACTGGATAAGTGTAGAAGAGGGAAGATCATCTCTTCAAACTCCACCTCCACCCTTTTCCCTCACTAACTAGGGGCCTAAACCAAAGCTATAACCCTTCAGTGGGACTGGCGTATTCCCCCAGAATCGTATAGAAGTTCTGGAAGCACCCTCAAGTCCAGAGGAAACTCAGGAAGAGGCCAAGGTAAGGTGAGCTAAGTGGGGCAAGGGCCTAGGTTTGTGATGGGGTCTCTAGGATGCCTTGGCTATTCCTCCCTCACCTGCTGTCTTCCAGGACCGGCTCCAGCATGTTCCCCCCTTTGAGGTGCTTGAGGGCCACCTCAGCTGCCTTGTGCTTGGCTGCCTTCTTGCTGGGGCCCTGACCTAAGAGAGGGGGTAGGACAACACTGGAGATCACTGGAAAGGTGGAAGAGAAGCCAGCACCCCACAGCCTCTCTTTCCACAGCCAGAGAATCAACCATCTCTAACAAACCTCCTTCTGCCCACGATTAGAAGTGTACTGTCTACTGAATCCTGAGCAGGAGTCAAGTCATGACAGGCAGAATTTCTCCTGAGCTACAACATCTTGGGTGCAGTGTCTTTCTCTGTACTTTCTTTTCCTTCAATAAGTAGAGACAGTTGGGGTAAAAAAAAGAGGGCAGGCTCTGGAATAAAAGTGTGGCTCTGCCACTTAATAGGCATGGGGTCTTGCACCAATTATTTAATTCCTCTGAACCTCATTTTTCTGTTCAACATGAGGATGCTACCATATACATCAATACTGAGTCAGGGCAAGGTTTAAAATTAAATGGACATTTGATCATGATGGGCAGAGCCCAGGATAGAATATTTCCTTCCCCCAAATCTATACTGAGGTTTCAGTTTATCACCTCCTACTTTTCCCTCATGAATGATGAGAATCTGATTGCTCTAACAGTCCTGCTCTCTAAATCCTACCCACCTTCTCACAGCCCTGTTCTCCAAATCCATTGAGTGGATTATCCCCTGAAATTTCTCCTTTCCTCATGTTTTAGAGAAGAGGACGGTGAATAAACTCCAAGAAGCAAAACCATGGAGTCTGTGAATGCACACCCCAGCCAGGCTGCCCAAGCCTTCCTCACCAGTGCAGCTGGTGTTGCCAACGGTGACCCGGAAGGTGAAATTAGGCTGGTGGGCTTGGCCCTCGGCTTTGAGAAGGTCGTACACGGGCGTCTTCCCTATTCTGGTGCCATACTCCTGCAGAAGGCTGATCGGGGTCTTGCCCGGGTTGGCGGCCAGCATTTGCTCTATACTGGGGGGAGGGGCACAGACCCACATCACACCTTCCCTCCCTCCCTCCACCTGCCCAAGCACTGTCATACCAGATCCAGGCATATCATGAGAACACAGGGTCCAGAGGACCCTGACAATATACAGCAGTCATTGGCTGAGTTCAGTGTAGAGTAGAAATGCAAGCAGGGAATGGAGGGTCCATTGCCCCAGGGCAGAAGAGGAATGCACAGTTCCTATCTCATTATGGCAGGGATCCTGCACCCTACTGTAGATCAGAAATGCATGTCCCCTTTCACAGTGCAGGCCAGGAACCCAGTACCCACCAAATACCCTGAGTGTCGGGGCATAAAGCCCAGTGGCCCAGGCAAGTCTGGGAATCGGGACAACTAAATACTATTTAGAGCTGGACGTAGTGCCCACTGCCCAGTGCATGCCGGGAATCACTGCCCAGTACCCCAGTGCTTGCTGGGAACAACACTCAGGCCAGGTGCATGCTGGGGCCGCGCCGCCACCCCCTTCACACCGCGACACGCTTTTCGCCCTGCAGGTCACCTTTCGAGGAGCCTCACCTGGGCAGCCCGCAGCCCGTAGTAGTGCCGGAGCCCTGCTCCTCTTCACTCATTCCCTCCTCCGTCCCTGCGGGCACCACCGAGACTGCAACCTCCACGCGCCCCAATACACCACCGACGAGCTAGGGCCGGGGCCAAGCCCGGAGTCGCGGTCGGTAGGGCCCGCCGCGGGGCATGCTGGGATATGGAGTCCCCCGCCCACTGTACTTCATGCACCTCCATCTGGAAGGGAGTTCGCCGCCCCACAACCCTCTGCGTGGGTTTCCCTGGCAAGCTGCATCGCCTTCTGGGAGAAGCAGTCCCCTCCTCTGTTGCTACTCGAGCTAAGGGTTGTAGTTTGGGGTTGTTTTTTTTTTAAATATCGTCCCGCCTCCTTCCTCCAATGCCCCCTTTCCCTTGGACTGTGAAACTGTGAACATGCGCAGTAGCGAAGTGGAAGTGGATAGGGGCGGGGCGGTAAGGGCTAACTCTAAAATGGGGGATCTTGAATTTCGATAGAACTACAGGACCCAGGAGCTGGCGCGTCATCTTTGTCGCAGTTGGAGGAGCAGGAGTTCATATACACGAGAAGCTGCGCGGCGCGACAAATTTTTCCCAACTGCGTTTCATTCCTTTAGGCCATTGAGATTGGCTACTTTGCTCAGAGGGGTGGGAACTAGGGAAAGTTACCTCCCTTGACACCGCCTTTTTCTTCATGGAAGAATGTGATTGGCTCGGCAACGTAGCTGCTGCGGGATTCAGGAAAGTGGGCCTTAAACCTGGACGCGGGAGGGGTCTTTGCTTTACCCCCTAGGGCGCTGGAACATTGGCACACTTAAGTTTATCTTTAAGCCTTCCTCTTTTTTTTATTTATTTTTTTTTAAGCCTTCCTCTTTACTCTTGACCTAAGTCCCTGGTTGTCACGTTTCAGTCTCGCAGGACCCGCTCCTTTTGCTAGCCTTTTAGAGAGGCTCCACTGAGCCTCTAAATAACTAGAAAATCCCCTCTGGAGCCTGAGAATCAGTTTATCGGATGAGAAAAACTAAGGTGCTTGGTCTAACTCTCTCGCTCGTGGGGCTTAGGTTTATGAAGTGAATCACAGCAAGATAGGATTCCGACTTCCATATATTCCCCAGAGTTTCATTCCTCACTCCTCAAAGTCAAGTGCCCTATGTTGAGATACAGGGGGAAATCTTGTAGCTTTAGATACAGAGCAGTAAAAAGGCCTCATTCTAATAATGAGTGGTCTAAGAAGGTAGAACAGAAGACTGAGCCAGGGTAGAGATTCATAGGAATCATGGAAGGATCATGGAGTGGGAGGGGACCAGAGCTAGGGTGCACAGCGTTAGGAAGAATTGGAGTGATGGCAATACCTGGAAGAGCTGGCAAGAACAACACGAGGGCAATGCCAGAGCTCTAGGTATCCCAGCTGAGGGTCTGTTGTTTCAGCATAGGAGGGAGTTTATAAGGCGGGTCATGACCCAGGATAGGACCACAGGATGCTGCCAGCAGGGTGGCGCCAAGCGCAGAGAGGGCAGGCATGAGCCTAGATAGCGCCGGATGGCAGCCCCGGGCTCCTTTAAGAAGAGGCCGACGGCTCCAGCGCAGCATCCCCTGCTCAGGGCGTGTCCGTCCCGGGGGGCCAGGGGCGGGGGCCCTGGGAGGAGCGGGAGTTAGAGCCGACAAGGGAAGGGGCTAGGGGTCCGGGGTGGGGGGTGGGGGCATAAAGCTGAGGCTGTTACTCGTGCACCTGAACACTGCACAAACCTCACCAGTGACAGCGACCCTGGTCCAGTCGAGGGCAGCGGGTTGGGGGGGGGGTGGAGGGAGGAGGAAAGGAGGAGGAGAAGGAGGAGGAGGCGGGAGCAGCATCCGGAGCGGAGCTGCAGCAGCGCCGCCTTTTGTGCTGCGGCCACCGAGCCCCCGAGGTGAGAGCCTGGCGGAGTTGTCGGGGGTAGGAGGATGGAATGGGCCTGGGTCCTGAGATCCTGGTGCGCTGGGAGGGTCTAGATGCAGATGTGACGTGGGGGAGGGGTGGCGCGGCGGTGCTGAGGGTGTGGAGATGGGGAACCCGGGACCTGGACCCGATGCCTGTAGGGATGGGAAAGAAGGGAACTGAACGGAGGGACCTCGCGGCCCAGCTTGGAGGCGAAAGGCTCTGGAATTACTGTATTGCGGTGGGGGAGGGGAATGGGGTGATTGGGGGACAGACTTAAAGGACAGAGGGCAAGAGAACATCCTTCTCCCTCCCACTCATCCTTAAGAAGGAAGGAGAGTTTTGACTCTCTCCAGGGAAGGAAAAGAAGGACAAGGCCTGCAGTACCTACCAACCCCCCTCCCTCTCACAGCAGGCTAGACCTGAAGATTGTAGTCAGAGTGCACCTGTTTCTGGATGCCCAGGCATTAGACCCCCATCCCTTCCAGCTGTGATGCCCCCAGCCCCCTCCAGCTGTGCAGTCACCTCCATCCAGCTGTTGCATCCTCCCCTCCCCCATCAATACTTGGTTTTCTCCCTCTTCCTTACCAACTACTCTGGTTCCCTAAACCATTCCTCTAGCTCAGGCCCTTTAAGAATCTCCCCTTCCCCACACACTCCTCAAACTCCTTAACTTAAAAAATAAGCAAGACTCTTTTTCACATATTTAAGACTACAGATAACCATTGCCTTGGCTAGGGGAAGAGAAGTAGTCAGTAGGTCTAGAAAAGAGTCCCTTAGAATTGGGGTGATCCTCACTTTTAACTCAGATACCTGCTACCTATTGAGATAAGTAGGTGAATGGCCTTAATTAGGAGGATGAGGTCTCTTCACTCCAACCATGGGCCTGTCAAGCCACAGTCAATGATCCCCTCTAAACATCATTTCCCTTCCACTTAGGATTGGTAACATGATTTTCAGCTAGAGAATCATACCGTGCTGAGGTAGGCCAAAGGGATTCAGAAAGCACCTCCTGAAGTTTCTATTTTAAGGCCTTGCAGCTTTCTAGTCTGCATTTAAGGGTAAGCAAAAGAAATCTGCCTTTTTACTCACATTGGGACTATGGTAATCATGTGGAGAAGACCAGCACACACATGAAAATACATACAAGTATGTGTCCCCTAATTAAACCCAGTTATGCACAGAGGAATGTGGAGTAAGGTTAAGGAAGTGGTCAGTATTTCCTAACCCTGCTTGCAGTTGAGAATGGCAGAATCCCTCTAAGAACCACATGCTGTTCCCTAACCTTTCTTTCCATGGTGATGATGCAGTAGAGACTGCATTTGCCAGGAAGAGAACCTTAAGTTCTAGTACTCACTGCCCTGGAGTCTCCTAGTGGCCAATCCTATGCATTCCTACTTCTCTGCTGCCAGGATTGGGGGGAGGTGGGGTGAGTGGAAGAAAAAATTGGGGGATCTACCCTTTCCAGAGTCCCTATGGGTTGGGAGGAAGATAGTGTTAAGTTGATGCCAGGCAGGGACATGGGGGCTTCATGAGGACTTGGTTGACTACAGAGCCTGGTCTGTGTCATTTGCTCCAAGAAGAACTGTTATTGTGTGCCTTAAAGTTGGAACCAACTCATAGCTGGCCCTCCAGCAGGTTTTCAGAGGCAATAAATTGCACAGGAGATTGCCTACCCTTCTCCATGACGCAGCTGGTAGATTTTAACTGCATGCCTTCAGGATTGCACAGCAGCTCTTACCACTAGGCCACAAGGCCTAGCTCCTGAAGAACTAGGGTCATGTATATTGAGGGAAGGGGTAAAGGAGATAATGGGAACATTCGAGAGAAAGATAAGGATCATTCAGATTGAAGAGCCCTTGTCCTCTGGTTTCTTCTTTTTTTTTTTTTTTTTTGTTTTCCTTTACCCCTTTTTGTTTCTCTGTCTCCCTTTCCAGCTATACCCTAACTATTGTCTCTTACTTTGAAAAAGGAAAGAACTCATAAGAAACCATTCATTGCTCAGTGTCTGACATTTTCCACACAGCTAATGTTTGTGGGGAACTTGCTATTTACCCATGCCAAGAACTTTATTTGGTGTATCTCATAACAAGCCGAAGAGTTACCATAATGTTGTGATCAAAGAAATAATTTGTTGAAAGTCAAAAAGTTAGTATGTGACCAAAGCTAGGATTTGGATTCAGATCTGGCTGACCTAGAACTTAATATTTTTACCCACCACATATTTTCCCCCAAACTTTTTGAGTTATACCCATCTCATTACCATAGTGAGAGGGAAACCATTGTCCCTATTTAAAGAAAAAGAAATTTAAGAGAAAAATCTCATACTCATAGTCACTGAGTTGGTAAGGAGCAGGGACAAGACCTCAACTCAAGCTCTCTAATGCTAAGCCTGGTTTCTCTCCATCACACCAGTCACTGTCGCTCTAAAGTACAGTTGATTTTGGATAAGTGCTAAGAATGGGTATGATGCTGTCAATTTTATTGCCTATTTTTCAATTTAAGGAGTTCTGATGGCCTATTGGGTAGAAAGTTGCACTGCCAACTCAAAAGGCAGGCAGTTCGAATCCACCAGCTGCTCCCTAGAAGAAAGATGGGCAGTATCCTCCTGTGTGATTTGTAGCCTCTGAAAACCTGCTGGAGGGTCAGCTATGAGTCAGTTCCAACTTGATAGCAATGAGTTGAGTTTGAGTTTGTCAATTTAAACTAAACTTTTTAAATTTTTTTTCATTTCATTTAAGAAACAATTCAAACTTACTAGTATTTTAAATGTAGAAGCTAAAAGAAAAAATTAAAATACCCATAATGCCACCTACTTAAACTCACTACAATTTGGTAGCTATTCTTCCACATCTCTTTATCTATACATTCTACCCCTTCTGGAACTAATTGTTAAAATATACTGATATTCTTCCAGGTCTACATGAGGTCCTTAATAAAAAAGACCCACAGGAATGACCTGGCTCACCATTCTCTTCACATAAGGTGAGGGTCTAGTGGTGTAGCTGCTAAAGCAGATTTCAAAGACAGCTAGCTAAAAGCAGAGAGTGTATAGGGATCAGGCTTTCCCTTTGGTCCAGAGGAAGTGGAACCACAGGATTTACAAAGGAAGGATAGAAAATCTGTGAGAATGGCTGGGGGGCCTAGCATGTTACTCTATTGTGACCCAACTAAAATGGAGCCTGGAGTTAAGGGTTGTCCAGGGGTACTAGAAGGCTAGAGAGCAAGTCTCACTTTGTCTGGTCAGGCAGAAGAGATGGCCTCTGCAGGAAAAACAAAGCCAGACCTGGTGCTCAGGCAGCGAGGAAGGCAAAGGAAGGAACCAGGCAGCATAGCATGCTCACTGTAGTCCTTATATCAACCTTCTTCGCTTGCAGCACCTGATAAAGTAGGGATGCATGCTCCAGAGTAGCTATTATATTTTAGTTAATGGTAAAATGGGAGCTTTAGAGGCCCTGGTTATTTTTCCTACATAGAACTTCCCTCCCTGCCTCAAATC